CGGATGAAACTTTTACAGTTTCAGCTCCATAAATGTGATTATTCTGTTTATTATTTACAGTCACCTGTCAGCAGGTTAGTCTCTCTGAAAGCAGTCAGCAGATGGACTGTAGTCAGTTCCTGTAGTCAGAGTGTGACAGTAGCAGCACTGATGCTTCCACATGAGCCTGAACAAGAAGACAAACTGCTGCTGGTCTCTGGTTCTGTGTCACTGAAACTTTTTCTTTTTTTGTCTGTAGAGGACGAGTTTGAGAGGAAGATGAAAGTTTTAAACGATGAAGGTGTGAGTAACTGGAAGCCATGTGTGGCTCATGCTTTCAGCCAATGGCAGTGCTGCATGAGGCAGAGCCTCCACCTGAACCAGCTGCTGCTTTCCCCTCTACCAGAACCTCAGTTTGCCCGGTAAACACCAGACCAATGATTTGCTCCACAGATGGTTAACACACTTCATCAACTTTAACTGAGATTTTCTGCTTTGTCAGGCTTTACTGTGGACCTCTCCTTCATCGGCTGGCAGATGGAGACACGATTGAAGAAGTACAGAAAACACTGAGAGAAGAAAAGAAGAAATTATATGAGAACCTGAAGACTGTTTGTAATCCTTCTTCTGGAGAGGGATCCTCTGTCCTGAGAGTTGAGGTTCCCTCTACTGGGGAGCGTTCCTCTGGTATGAGTTCCTCCGGTGAGGAGGGATGGGAGCAAGTTGCAAACAACAACAAAAACCAAAAAAGGGGAAAAAAGAAGAGAGCTACCAGAGAAAAAGCTGATAAATGAGACTCTGAGTGATGAGCTGATCAGAGAAGGACTTTCTGATCCCGAAGCTCTGTTCTGTTACTTCTCTTCAAATGTACTCTAACACAACTTTTGCTACTAGCATTTGTTTGATTTTGAACACTGTTTACCAAGGAGTTTTCAAAACTTTTAAAATAAGGTACTATTATCTCTATGTGCCACTATCTTCATATATGGAATTAGCATTAATTTGATATTAGAATTTCTGGTGTAGGGGCATTTAGTGATTCCGGTTAGTATGATAATTTACATCCATCCATCCATCCATCCATCCATCCATCCATCACTGCATTCCTTGTCTTCAGCCAGGAGTGAGAGCTCACTTGTGAGGTTCAGTGACACATGGCGCTGTAAACAATTCAACCACAAACTTGGCCTGAACGTTTCCAGTGATGTTAACCTATAACTTTCTTCCGACTGCTGCATGTGGAAAATTGATCCAGGTCTGCTTTGCACCTAAAAGTGACAAAACTAAGACATTTTCATTATCATCATCACTGCTTAAACAACACACATCTCTCTCTCCGGGCAGAAACACCAATTTACGTCATGTATTCACATTCATGAATGTAAGCATGTCTTCATTGCGTCTATGTATTTGTATTCATATTAATCTTGAGTGTAAGCTGATCTTCATTGCCTCGATGTGTTTTTATAATCAGGTTTAATTC